TGTGTGTGTGTGTGTGTGTGTGTGTGTGTGTGTGTGTGTGTGTGTGCGTGCACATACCAGGCAGTACTTGTGTAGCTGACTGGCTGATGGGGGCCAGGCCTTGCTGCTGCATCGACAGCTGGTGCAGCTTTGCTAACTGACAGGAACAGAGATGGAAATCAGACAGAAACAAGCGATGATATCAAAGATGAGCAGAGTGAATAAAGCAGCTGTTTACCTCTGAGTGAGGAATGCCGTAGTGGCTCTGTACTGCATACGTCTGAAACAGAAAAATACAGAAGGTTGACGTTATCACCTCATTATCCATCCAGCCTGGAGTTCATCATGAGGTTCAGTTTGATCAAAAGTCCAACAGACAGACAAGAAAAGACAGGAGAGGCTTTAAAATGTGGAAAAGTTTGGTGCGGCTGCTTTAAGGTCATTTAGAGCGATCAGACATCTTCCCTCTGATTAGTGAAAGCTGCAGATGAAGTAGATGAAGAGAGTTCTGCAGCAACTGTGTTGAAACATATCGTGCATCATTTATGATTTTCCTTAAAAGTTGTCAGAAAATTGTAACACTTTTTTAAGGTCTCTCTTTGGAAATGAAGTATTCCCGCCGGCTTGGGAACGCTTCAGTATCTCTGCTGATGAGCTGCAGGTGATGGTCAAGGATGGGAAGGTTTGGACTTCTCTGCTGACAATGCTGGTTCCCCGACCCGGATAAGCAGCAAGGCGCTCCGTACCTTCTGCATTTGCTCCATCTTTCAGATCTCTATTCGTTTTCAAAGGCGACCGTGGTTCAGGGGGTTGGGGAGCTCATCTGTGACCAGAAGGTCGCCGGTTCGATCTCTTCCTGTCCTGGTTGTTGTGTCCTTGGGCAAGACACTTCACCTACCGCCTACTGGTGATGGTCAGAGGGGCTGATGGTGCGATATGGCAGCCTCACTTCTGTCAGTCTGCCCCAGGGCAGCTGTGGTTTGCCTGCACCAGTGTGTGAATGAATAGTGGAATTATAAAGCGCTTTGGGTGCCTAAAGAAGCGCTTTATAAAAATCCATTATTATTATTATTAAAGTTGATACTTTTGCTGTGATAATAAATTCCTTCGTTGCACGACTTTCTGTATTTTCTGTGCCTGAAACCAAACCTTCACTCTCACCTGCACCTGTGTCAACTTTTATTTTTAAATCCTTGAAGATTTTTAATATAGATACAGCGAAGCTTTTGCTCATAATAAAAAGTAGTTGATGAAAAACGTTGACATTTTCCAATCTCTCCGGAGCTTCGGATACAAAGCCCATAAACCAATTCAAAGACCCCGAAAAGCCTGTCAGTTAAAGGTCTTTTCCTCCGTCTTCTGCGAGTACAGAGGGAAACGCCGTCAGGATTAATGCTCCGTGATGCTCGGAGTTACTGAAAACACGACTATGAAAACGAGTTTCCCTCGATCATCCAGTCCATGTTTTATCTGTCCAACATCATGACTCGAGGAGTTTGCAGACGGCTTCCCAAATCCCTCGCTGAACTTCAAAGAGGAGCAGCGCATCCACAGGCGAAGCATGAGATGGCTGCAGGGGAGGTGGTGTGTGTGTGTGTGTGTGTGTGTGTGTGTGAGCAGGGGGACAAAGTTGCTGTGGATGCATTCGAGACACTGCAGAGACGCTTGTGTGTCTCCCCGAGGTTGACCAACCTTATATAAGAGATCTCAGACTGTGCTGCTGAACTTTTGACTCCTTTTGGCAGCACTCCGGGATGTGGAGGATCCACAGAATCCAGCTCCAAAGACTGATTCTATAAGAGTAACAGACCCGTGTGAGCTCTGCTTGATATTTATGCACCGTTGTGAACCTGAAAGTCTACCAAATGCAAATGGTCCGTGCGGGGTCCAACACGGAAAGCACCATATAAATATTTATGCGCGGTTTAATGCATCATGAATGAGAGACGCAGCAGAAAGAGTCTGCTCCTGCACGTCTGGGATTCTCCGAGCAGGAGACGACAGCAGAGAATGTCAGACTGACGAACTTTGTTCCTCCTTTTAGGAACGACCGTCTGATGTCGGCGCCGATATTTAAGAAGCTCCTCAGTCAGCCGCTGATGCTCGGCTGGAGCGCTCCGTGGACGCCCACAGAGCCTCGTCCACGAACCTCACTGTAAACCAGAATAGCTGCTGTAACCACGGTAACATGTTTCTCCAATCAGAAACGGTTTTTAGGAATAAAAGCTTATCTTTGGATGGGCTTCGTTTTTCTTCTGCTGTCTGAAGTTTAGGCGAGTTGAGGCTACAGATGGACTGAGTCACGTGACTCCATGCAAGCAGCTCATTCGTCAGAGTAGGAATACTTAAAAAATACAACATCGGACACAAAGGTACATTTAAAATGGACGTGTTATAGGCGTGTGCATTAAGGTTGAGCGATTGGACGCATTTATCGACCATCAGTTTGCTAATGATGTTGTTTGAAGCTAAGAGAAGAAGTCAATGGAGCAAACTAATAGTGCTGCATTATATGATTAAATATTTCCGTCCTGGAAGCATGTGCTGCTCGACAAAAGTTTTCAGCACCTCGACGAATGGCTCCTTTTCCACGGTATGAAACGACATCACTTCCTTTGACAGATATTCAGCGTGCGCTGTGTCCACCTGGGGCTGTCCTTTTCATATTTAACCGTTTTAGTAAAAGCACTTTGGATATTCTGCTGGTGAAAAGCTTTTCTTGAGCTTGTTGATGGAAAGCTGGTGATAGCCGAGCATACTCAGCTGGACGGCGAACACTTAAATGCTCATGCGAGTTAGTCGTGTTCGAGTCCTTTGCTGCTGCCGTACGTCTGCACAGCGGCAGCTTTGCCTCTTTCATCCGGTTTAGCGCCAAAGAAATCCCAAACTGACGACTTTGGGGTTTTTTTGGCAACTAGTTCCTCCATGTTTGGACTTCTTTGTTCTAAATAGGTAAATCGGTCCATGCACGATTACATTGCTTCGCCCATCAAAAAGTCACCTGCATGAATAAATCACCTATCGTTGTTTCTTGGACCGATGAATGTTGGCTGGAAAAATTTGACATATCGCCCGACTTTAGGGCAACTGTAAGTGTTTGTAATGCTATAGCCCTTTGTTTTTAGTAAAGACTCATTGTACTGAAGTGTATTAGTACTTATTGCACAAATGCAAACATGCTCACTACACTTCAAATACACAAACTAAAACTGATGCTAGTCTCCCCCGCACAAACAGCCGGAGCCTCCGACTGCATGGAAGCAAATTGAGAGTAGCGCTGTGGTCACATCTTTCAAGGCTGTCAGGATGTCTTTCACATAATAATCCTGCTTCGCTTCAGGCTGTTTCAGAGCGTGAAGTTCAACCTCTGAGGAAAAAAAGCTCCTCTGACAGCCGATCACTCAGAAGCGGAGCAGTGACACCTGTCATCTCCAGTAAAGACAGCCAAGAAAGGGAAAGGTCACACTGGAGTAGACACACGTTACTCGTCTAAATCTGATGGATCGTTTGAAGAAAGTGGGACGGAGCTCATTTCCACTGTGACGGGATACACTGCTGCCTCCTGAAGACCCCTCCCTGTGCAATCACGCCACCTATTAACTTCATTTACCGATGAAGCGTTCCTGTTGAGGTGCAGGAACAGTCCCCTCAATTATAAGGCAATGACTCTACAATCAGACAGAGTTTTTATTTTTCAGTGGGGATGACTCCGGCTTTCCAGTGCCACTGAGCGCTGAGGATCCAACGCACATCATCACGAAGGGAAACTCGACTAAAGTGTCTTCTACGCGACTGGACTTCTTCAGTGCTAAGACCACCATTTCTCAGATGAGAGGTGAAACGTCTCAGAGGTGACGTGGTTTTCTTTCCAAGCTCCTTAGGCTATCGACCTGCACAGAAACACTAAACTGGCTTCTTCTCTTTGACACCTAAGCTAAAATCTGACGATGGCACATTTTAGCCATTCTGGTAACATCGACTTCAGGCTCCACGATGAACACACGGAAATCCAGATTTCACTGCTTTAAGCACCTCTTTTCCAAACAGCCTGCGTTACCTGCATTTAGTTAAAAGCTTCGTACTAATTTCCTCTAAAAACACGTTGTTTACTCTCACTGAAACATGCTTAATGCCATTTCAAACACGTTATCACAGCTAATTATCCCACCGGAGAAATCCTCACAGCTGCAATCTCGAAATAAAGATTAACGTTTAATCCCAGAAATGACTCCATGACTACTGCAGATGAGTTTGTCACCAGAGCGAGAGACGCAATCATCGACTCGTCACAAACACAGTATACGAATCCTCTTCGTCTCTCAGTCGCTGCCTCCTCTTCCTCTCTCTGCAGCCTTAATAATGAATTAAAGGCGTTAATCTCCTCACGCTGACACTGAACTCTGCATTAACCCTCCCTCCATTTCTTCTTCCATCACAGCTCTTTTCTCTAAAACCTCTTCGTTTCAAACATTCCTTCACATCCTTTTCTGGGTCTTTCTTCGTGCTCTCCTGCCATCTCTTCCCTACAGTCACGTGATGAATACCTGGTTCTTCTGAATGATTTGTGGCCACATCTTAACCAGTAATGATCACTTTCTCTGATTAAAACAAAAATCAAGTCATGCTTTTGAGTGCTGAGGTGATTCCTGTCTGACACAAAACCCTGCAGGACGAGTCCACAGTTACTGTTCAACTCTTCACTGTGTGGCGATTAAAACTTTGTCACTTTACTTTGACATCCTGCAGAAAACTCTGGCCTCTTCATTTTGGCTTCATTTGTCAGAACAAAACCGATTTGAAGTTAATGAGGTAGACAAAATAACGTGAGGACGGAGACGATTCAAGAGTTTCGGAGCTGCGACTGAGACTGTCCGGTCATTCGTACGAGCCAATCGGGAAGCTGCTGATCAGTGGACCTAACAGTCATGAGAGGAGTGTAAAAGATCTGATCGATCATCAATCACGTATGTAAGTAACAATATTCTGATAATATTCTTCACAGCAAAACTGACACTGATGTCACTCCGAAGCAGAGCGACTGTGCCTCCGATGTTAAACGTCTTTTTATCGATTTGTTACCAAAGACGAGGTTTTTCTACATTTCTCTTCATTTCTCCTCCCCCAGTCTCCTCGTCTCACCCCCACCTGTCACTTCATCCCTCCGTCTCTCCTCCCATCCGTCCCATGGAGCCTCCGCTAGCTAGTGTTGTTTGAACTGACGTTCCCAAGGCTGTGAGCCTGACAGACAATATGCATTTACACACACACACACACACACAC